GCTGACTGGCTGACCTTCCTCCCCCGATTTCCCTTTTCCACGGGGTCCAAAGCACTGTTCGAGGAGGTTCAACGAGCTCCTCAACGCACATCGCGGGCCCCCAGAGCCTCAAAAGGAGGCCCAGTGATACGCCTCACGAAGGCCAGCACTCCTGAGAGGTCTCAAGACGGCCAAGACGGCTTCTGGACGGCACAAAACAAGTGGCACGCGTGCCCTGGCTCTTGCACAAAGGTGTCCGAGGCTCAGGGGGGCTGCCCTGGGAAGCCTGGGCGGGGGGGGGCAGAAGGGGGGGGGCAGGGGGGCGAACGACGCGACACGACACGACGCGGAAATAAAAGTGGCCCAGGGGGGCTACCCTGGGAAGCGTGGACAGGGGTGGGGGGGACGAACGACACGACGAACGACGAAAATAAAGGGTTCCGTGGCCCAGGGGGGCTACCCTGGGAAGCGTGGACAGGGAGGGGGGCGCGGTGCCGAAATAAAGTGGGCGGGGCGGAGGGGGCGCTGGGCGAGCGCTGGAGCCGTGGGGGGCGCTGAGACGTGTGGGGGAGGGAGCGGAGGATGGGGGGGGGCTGTCGGGGCGGAGGGGGCACTGGGCGGGCGCTCGAGCCGCGGGGGAGCGCTCAGACGGTGCGGGGGAGGCGGCGGAACGGTGCCGAAATAAAGGGGTCGGGGCGGAGGGGGCACTGGGCGGGGCGCTGAACCGCGGGGGGGCGCTGAGACGGCGCGGGGAGGGAGGCGGATGAGGGGGGGCACCGGGCGGGGCTGGAGCCGAGGGGGGGGCTGAGACGAGCGGGGAGGGGCGGAGCGGGGGAGGGGGTGCGGTGCCGAAATAAAATGGTCGGGGCGGAGGGGGCACTGGGCGGGCGCTGGAGCCGCGGGGGGGCGCTGAGACGGCGCGGGGGAGGGGGCGGAGCGGGGGAGGGGGTGCGGTGCCGAAATAAAGTGGTCGGGGCGGAGGGGGCGCTGGGCGGGCGCTGGAGCCGCGGGGGGGCGATGAGACGGCGCGGGGGAGGGGGCGGAGCGGGGGGGGTGGCTAGTGCGAAATAAAGTAGTCCGGGGGCGGGAGGGGCCCTGGGCGGGGCGCTGTGAGCCGCGGGGGGGGGGGCGCTGCACGGCGTGGCGGGGAGGGGGACGGAGCGAGGGGGGCGCGAAAAAGGGGGGGGGGGGCGTGCCGAAATAAAGTGTCGGGGCGAAGGGGCACTGGCGGGGCGCTAGAGCCGCGGGGTGGCGCTGATGACGGCGCGGGGAGGGGGCGATCTGGGGGTGCGGGGTGCGAAAATAAAATGGTCGGGGGCGGGGAGAGGGCGCTGGGCGGGGGCGCTGGAGCCACGGGGGGCGCTGAGACGCGCGGGGGGGGGGGGGGAGAGGAGGCGGAGCGGGGGGGGGTGGGGTGAGCGGTGCCGAAATAAAAATGGTCGGGGCGAGAGGGGGCGCAGGGCGGGCGCCTGGAGCCGCGGGGGCTCTGAGACGGCGCGGGGCCAGGGGGCGCGCGGGAGGGGGTGCGGTGCCGAAATAAAGTGGTCGGGGCGGAGGGGGCACTGGGCGAGCGCAGGAGCCGCGCGGGGGCGCTGAGACGGCGCGGGGGAGGGGGCGGAGCGGAGGGGGGGCGCGGTGCCGAAATAAAATGGTCGGGGCGGAGGGGGCACTGGGCGGGCGCTGGAGCCGCGCGGGGGCGCTGAGACGGCGCGGGGGAGGTGGCGCTGAGACGGCGCGGGGGAAGGGGCGGAGCGGGGGAGGGGGTGCGGTGCCGAAATAAAGTGGTCGGGGCGGAGGGGGCGCTGGGCGGGCGCTGGAGCCGCGGGGGGGCGCTGAGACGCGCGTGGAGGGGCGGGGCGGGGGGGGTGCGGTGCCGGAATAAATGGGCGGGCGGGAGGGGGCACTGGGCGGGCGCTGGAGCCGCGCGGGGGCGCTGAGACTGCGCGGGGGAGGGGGCGGAGCGGGGAGGGTGGGTGCGGTGCCGAAATAAAGTGGTCGGGGCGGAGGAGGCACTGGGCGGGCGCTGGAGCCGCGGGGGGGCGCTGAGACGGCGCGGGGGAGGGGGCGGAGCGGGGAGGGGTGCGGTGCCGAAATAAAGTGGTCGAGGCGGAGGGGGCACTGGGCGGGCGCTGGAGCCGCGGGGGCGCTGAGACGGCGCGGGGGAGGGGGCGGAGCGGGGGGGGGGTGCGGTGCCGAAATAAAGTGGTCGGGGCGGAGGGGGCACTGGGCGGGCGCTGGAACCTGCGCTTGGGAGCGCTGAGCGACGGCGACTGGGAGGGGCGAGCGCGCAAGGGGGGGGGGGGGGCGGTGGCCGAAATAAAGTGGTCAGGGCGGTAGTGGGCTGGGCGGCGCGCTGGAGCCGCGCGGGCGCTGAGACGCGCGGGGGAGGGGGCCGTGCGGGGAGGGGGGGTGCGGTGGCCGAAACAGAGTGGTTCGTGGCGGAGGGGCCACTGGGGGCGGAGGGGCCACTGGCGGGGGGGCGCTGGAGCTGCCGCGCGGGGGCGCTGAGACGGCGCGGGGGAGGGGGCGGCGCGGGGGGGGGGGGTGCGGTGCCGAAATAAAGTGGTCGGGGCGGAGGAGGCACTGGGCGGGCGCTGGAGCCGCGGGGGGGCGCTGAGACGGCGCGGGGGAGGGGGCGGAGCGGGGGGGGGTGCGGTGCCGAAATAAAGTGGTCGAGGCGGAGGGGGCACTGGGCGGGCGCTGGAGCCGCGCGGGGGCGCTGAGACGGCGCGGGGGAGGGGGCGGAGCGGGGGGGGGTGCGGTGCCGAAATAAAGTGGTCGGGGCGGAGGGGGCACTGGGCGAGCGCTGGAGCCGCGGGAGGGCGCTGAGACGGAGGGGGCGCATGATGCTGATGATGTGGATGATGATGATGATGGTGATTATGATGGTGATGATGGTGAGGATGATGATGATGATGATGATGCTGCTGCTGCTGCTGATGATGATGATGATGATGATGATGATGATGATGATGATGATGATGAAGGGGGGGGGTGCGGTGCCGAAATAAAGTGGTCGGAGCTCTAGACACCCTGTGCAAGAGAATAAAGGACCCAGATACGGCCTGAGAGAGCTTCAACACGACCCTCAAGATGCCGCGTACAGGCCAACATCACTTGTTCCCCTCAATTTTTTACTGGGTTGCCGCGTTGTCATTGTCACGCCCTTTTGTCGGTCCAAGTCGGTCTAGGAAGGACCCAAGATTGCCCGAGAGGCCTCCAAGATGGCCCAAGGGGCCCCCCACGGCGCAGAGTGGCTCTCAAGACCGACTCCAAAGGTGCCACACGGCCCAACAGCGACCCTGAGATGGTCCAGAGAATTGCCACGAGGCCCCGAGAGGCCCCCGAGAAGCTCCTGAGAAGGCCCATGGAGGCCTCCAAGATGACCGAGAAGAACATGGCCCCCGAGGCCCTCATGTGTGTATGCGAAGACCGCCACTACGCTGGAAATCACCATGCCCAAATGGCTACATTTCAGTGGGCGCCCAGTGAATGCTCGTTGCTCGTCTGGAGGTCGGCGGATGTGGCGCAAGCTGGTTGAACCCACGTCCAGAAGGAATATGTTGCAGGAGGCAAGTCTGCGGAGACGATGATGCGACGTATCCAATGGACCAACTTATTCGACAGTTCCTTCAGATCGGGTCACCTTACATCATTACGTATCCAACCCTGGCCCCCCCCCCAAAAAAACAATCGCGCCACATCTGCGCAGCCATCCTTCCTGGGGCACAACATCATACCAACCCGTTCGGCAAAGGTATAATCTCAGCCGATTCGGCCTCCTGGGGGTCCATAAGGGCAGCCTCCAGACGGCCCAAGACGGCCCAGGATAGGCTTTAGATGGCCCAGGCCCCCAAGACGGCCCCAGAGGGCAACAAGCAGGTTCTCAAGTGCACCTCCAGATGCCAATAACATGTAATGTCCTTAGTTTGTTTTGTTACGACATTTGTGGTCTCGCTTGTTTCAACTCTCGGGGGCTTATGAGGGCCCAAGCAGCCTCCACGACAGCGCCAAGACGACCCCAGGGGCCACGAAGAGGGCCCCAGAGATGGCCCAAAGATGCCCCGAAGAGATCCAGAAGGTGGCCCCGAGAGGCCCCGAAGATAACCTCCAAGGACTCCACACGACGAATTGGCGGCCCAAGACACCTCAAGAGGCCCCCAAGGATCACCGAGAGGACCAAGAGATGCCCCAAGACAGGCCCGGCAGAACGACACGGCAGACCAGCGCGGCGGACGGAGCAGGGCCAACCAGACAACGCCCAGTCTTTTCGTATTCTGGGAGTGCACCTCGCGAAGCGAGAGGAATCAAAGGAGGGTGAGGAGAGATAGCATGAATCAGGAAGAAGTAAAGACGATGATGATGGTGATCCTGGTGATGGTGATGATGATGATGCTGGTGCTGATGCTGGTGGTGATGATGATGGTGGTGGTGATGACGATGATGCTTATGATGACGATTACGGTAGTGATGATGGTGGTGATGCGTATGTTGGTGGTCACGGTGATGATGCTGATGATAATGATGATGATGACGATGCTGATGATCACGATGATGGTACTAATAGTTATGCTGGCGATGCTGATGATGATGACGAGCGTGACGATGCTAACGATGATAATGGTCATACTGATCAAGATGATGATGCGCATGATGATGAGCATGGTAGGCGGGGGGGAAAGGCAAACGTGGTTCGCCGGCGACACAGCTGGCGCCGTACCCCTCCCACCCAATACCCTCCCATTGCGCTGGTGTCTTCAATATCCGAGATCTCTCCAGTGGCCCCCTCGTGTGGTGCGCGAACTGAAGAGTTGTACGAGCTGGCCGATGACCAGGAGGAAGAACAAGGGGAAAAGGAGGACGATGAGGAAGGAGGACGAGAAGGATCTGGAGGAGCAGGATCAGGAGGAGCAGGATGGCGGGAGAAGGAGAAGGCGGGGGCAACAACGACGAGGAATCACCCGCAAACCCCGAAAACGACAGGCAAGCCTCCGGAATCCCCCCAAACCTTCGGCTGTCCAGGATTTTCCGGGAGGCCCCCGAAAAGCTGACGAGGCCCACGGGGCCGGAGGGGGCTCCACAATGAAACGGACAGCGAGGAACGCACTGGTCCAGGAGCATCTTTGGCAACCCCCGCGTTTAAACAGAAGCCATCTCTCATCTCTCCCCCCCCCATCCTTTGAGCGAGAGTAAGGCCTACGTCGGCGCAAACAGCCACGAGGTCGAGTCGTCGCAGCACTTTGAGGGCGACATGGAACTCCACCCCAAGGGCTGCTGGTCGCTGAGGCCCAAGGCGCACTTCATGACGCTGGCAGAGAACGTGTTGCAATTGTGCGTGAATAGGCTGTAAGAGTTTCGTGTCCAGTCTGTTCCGCAACGACACATGTCGGTCCTGGCGGCCTCCAAACTGAAGTCTGAGATCCCGTATATGTACTTCTCCATGCCACTCTTTTTCCCTCGGACGTGGTCTGCGAAGGGAACGCTCCGTGTCTTCACGCCTGAGCAGGAGACGTTATGAGCAGCGTCGCCCTTTTTGCCAAATGTAAGCACGTCGCAAGTGATGCCCTTCGCCCAAGGCTGATCCTTCCACCAATCCGTCGGGATCTTTGTGTACGGGCGTTCTTCTGCCCCAAGGTCCTTGGCGATCATCTCGCGGAGCAAGTCTGCCCTGGATGCAGGAAAGCTCCCCGCCTCACACCAGAGCACCTCAGAATGTGAAAAGGCATGTTTGCCCGGGCCGAGCAAGGTTGACCCGATGGGATAGATCGCGAGGATGACGAAATACTTGTTACCACGCAAACTATCTCCCTCAGCCAAGCGCATGTTTTGACTGCGCATTCCGACCCCTTGCAGGGGCAATAACCACATGATGAGGCTTGCGTATGTCATCATGGAATGCATTTCGAAAACTACGACGGGCCGTTACCATTCAACAACAGACGGCTGAACCACCATGGCTATGACGGCGAAGAAACGGAATGGGACGAGACCGGGGAGGAGATATTCACTCACTTGGAGCTTTCGCTCTGGGGCGAAAGGCCGTGCATGGGCGTGCCGTATCAGATCTGCTCCAAGGAACGGGGCTCTCGGGACTCTGCAGAGCTGGGCGCTGCTACACCTCGCGGCCTCCAGAAACACGCCTATTGCGGCTCTGGGCGCGCCGTCGAGTAGAGGAGCGGGATGAGGAGTAGGTGGAGGACGGGACTGAGCAGGGAGGACCGGGAGCAGGGCGAGGGAGCGAGAAGAGCGACGAGGGGTAAAAGGGGACGGGCAGGAGGAGGGGACAAGATACGAAGGAGACGGGTGGGGAGAGGACGGAAGAGAGGACAGATTGCAAGGAGGAAATTGGGCACGAGGAGACGGACGAATCTGCTTCGACGGACCCTGGACCCTGGGACCGCCAGCGAGGGGGAGAGACGGTGAAGGGGGATGTCTGTTCTCACTTCGAAGACGGCTTCGAAGCGTGAGGTTCAAAGACCCAGCAAGTGCCCTGCAAGATCAACCCGCCGCGTTGAGACGGGATGCAAGCAGGAGAACCAGGCAACTGAGGAGCATGCAAAACAGTGAGTACGGGGAAAAAATGAAGAGGGGACACTCGTGACGAACATGAGGAGGAGGAGGAGGAGGAGGAGGAGGAGGAGGAGGAGAGGAAGGAGGAGGAAGATAACTCGGATGGGGACATGTTTTCCCACACGGTAGGTTGGGAATCGTGAAACTTCTAGCATTTCATTTCCCCGATCCGCCTCGCCCGCCCTGCATCCCGTGGTCGCAGGGCCCAAATCGTCGGTGTGCTCTCTTGGTGCTGCGCTCCGCCTGGCCTGCATATCGCTCCGCCCGGCCTGCATCATCCGGGTGATCCCTGGCTGCAGTCGGACAGGGGTGAAAGATCGAGGTCGATTCGGGGCGGGTGCCCGAATGTTCTTCGTGTGTCGTTGGACGTTCTTGTGCATCCTGGGGAGGGTGCCCTGGGATGTTCTGTGTGCTTCGGCCAAGGGAGGGTCTCATGTTCTTGCTGGTTGTTGTTCTGTCCTAGGTCCGACTGCATCCCGCCTCGCCCACCCTGCACACCGCGGCCAGCAAGCCCCAGATATCCGAGAGTCCAGCGACGGCATGACGAGCAGACATGCAGAACAGTCGTAGAGAACGTCACGGAGGCGTCAGGGCGCCACACCGTAATGGGAATGAATCACAAGACAGCTCGCCGCTCGGGCCCCACCCCCAGCCCAAACGGCGATCATACATCGGGCGTAGCCCCGCACGCATTCGAATGCCCACACTCTGTCCTTGTACTACTCGTATTCCTCCCCATCCTCCTCCCCATCCTGATCGTCGTCGTCGTCCTCCTCCTCCTCCTCCTCGTCCTCTTGCTCATCCTTCTCGGCTTCCTCGTCTTCCTCCTGCTCCAGCTCCTCCTCGTCGTCCTCGTCTAAGGCCTCGACCTCGTTTCTCCCCTTCCCCCTCCTGCTCATCGTCCTGCTCCTGGCACCTAGGATGCGCAATAGAGTGCGCCCTCGGCGGCCGAACATAAAACCGTCTCCTATCGGTTGCGCCGCAGGTGGCGCCCTCGGCTGCTGAGAATAAAACCGTCTCCTATCTGTTGCACCGTAGGTTGCGCCCTCGGCGGCCGAACATAAAGCCGTCTCCTACCGGTTGCGCCGCAAGTTGCGCCTTCGGCTGCCGAGTAAAAGCGTTTCCTATCTGTTGCGTCATCGGCGGCCGAGAATATGCGTCACGAGTTGCGTTCTCGGCGGCCCAGAATAAAACCGTCTCCGATCGGTTGCGCTATAACTGGCGCCCTCGGCGGCCGAGAATACAGCCGTCTCCTACCGGTTGCGCCATTGGTTGCGCCTTTGGCGGTCGAAAACAGAGCCGTCGCGTAACGGGTGCGATCAGTCTGTCCTGCTCAGTTCAGTTTAGTTCAGTTTACCTCGTGAGAAACAACTTCTGGCTACGCCCGAGGAAGGTACTTACATCGGGGACACAAAGAGTAATAGCGCCGTCCAATGACAGGCATCATGTCCATAAACAAGCAGCCCACACCAAAACCATACATCTAGAGCGCATTCAAATGACAAGGCCCGAGTCCCGCAACCAAGACCAGACAAGACGGGCATTTACAAATGATTTACAGTGCACGCACACCACGAAGAAGTACCATCGACACTCAGCAGCAGCCTTGATACAACAATCACATACATGAGTTGCAAAACTCATGCCAGACATCAAACGTACATTAACTGTTTGCACCGAGCTCAAACACTAACAGCATATAATAACGAACGGTTACCGGTACCAACCACCAATGACAAAACATCGGGGCAGACACCAATGCTATGCACCAAGAGCACGCATCAGTGCCCAATACCAGCAACACACATGTCAACAATATCCACCAACCGATAATCCAACACCACACACCGGCAACGAACACCAATAACAATAACCAACAACATACACACGTGACATAACTACACCACTAACATACGCTCAATCCGTACATGCATCAAACATATACCGTAAAACTGGACACCAACACCAAAAACCACGACCAGATGTACCGAGCAGGCGCAAAGAAAAAGAGACACCAATGCGATGCATGAGTCACCTTATTCAAGATCATACACTAAAATCCATCCCGCCATACTGAAACTGTGTGGCGAGGGGAGCTCGAGCCAACATAATTCGAACATTGATCTTCCGAAGCGATCTTGTCACCGGCAAGGAAGAAGAGCAACAGGATGATGAGGAGAGGCAGAAATATGCAGCGTCACCGGGCAACCATATACCATGACCAAGTCATGCGCGTCACCGGCCCAAGAAAAGCCGCCACTGCGTACCTTCGTCAAGCGCATGTTTCTTCAATTTTAGAGGTGTGCGCAGACAATGGACACAATTAGTCGCGATTGCGTGGGACCGACTTGTCTGACACCACTCCGGGGCGATGCATTGAAACGATGCCCCCCGCATCTTTTTACGCCAGCCCGAAGCATACACGAACAGGCGCTGTCCGTACAGCTGCAGGCGGAAAGGCTTGTTGCGAGGAGGACCTGAACACATTGCCGCCGACCTGGTGTGAGAGCCTTACCGCGCTTTCCCATGGGAAGGGCCTCCATGGCGCTGCGCCCCTGTTGGAGGAGGGCGTCGCCTCCCCTGTCTCCACAATTGGACTCGCCTCGGAACCCTGGTCTGGGCGTGTCCTCTTGGTGCCCCTGACGGCATCTCCGCGCCCACTGTCCGTGCGCATCCTCGCTGACGACCGCGGTGGGCCTTGCAACCCAGGAGGCTCCCACGTTGATGGCGCGTGCTCGCCCAACCCAGGTGGCCCGCGTGGTTGATCCACCAGTCTGCGCACCAGTCAGGTGACTCCGTCTACCTGGCTACGTTGATGACCGCGGTGGGCCTTCCAACCCAGGAGGCGGCCGCCCCCTTCGTACACCAGTCTGCGCACGAATCAAGTGTTTCCGTGATACCTGGCTCCGCTGACAAGGGCTGCAGCGCCCTCTCAACCCAGGAGGGCGCCGCCCGCGGCTTGTCCACCAGTCTGCGCACGTGTAAGGTGCTTCCTCGCCGCGCCCCCTCGGCGCGCCCGCCGCGCGGGCTGCTGCGCACCGACCAGCCCAGCCGATGCGTAGTGGTGCCTGGGCGGCCCCACCGCTTCTCTCCTCGGCGCCTGGCCTTGCAGCCCCCCCCCTTGCGCGCCACCTCTCCAGGTGGCGTGCCGCCTCTGGCACGCCCGCGCTCTCTGGCCGTGCGCTGCCGCCCCCCGCCCGTCCCTTGGCTCCGCCCCTGCGTGGCTTCGCCGCGTCGCGGCTCTCTGCCCCTCGCCGAGCGAGCCGCGCGTTGAGCCTTCCTTGCCGGCGTTGCCGCTTTCAGCCCCTGCGCCACACAAAGGGTCACGCCCCTGCTGGCAACGTGTGCTGCCCCACTTGGGGGTCCTCGCCGGTGCGGCTCACCTCCCGCTTTGCCCCTCCTCTCTTGTGGCTGCCGGCTGTGGCGCCCCCCCCCGGACGGCTCCGCCTATAGCGGCCCGTCCCTTTCCCTGCCAAGTCCCAGGCCGTGATGCCGTGCACCCGCCTTGGGATGGCATCACGGTCTGCCCCCCGCCATCGCCTAACGCGCCGCGCGCTGGACCGCTCCGCGCCGGAGCCCCCGCAACCCCAGCGCCCTACAGGTGGCCTTGCCGCTGCCCGCAGCTTTTGCTGCCCCGCTTTTGCCCTGTCGTTGCGGCTCGCCTCCCGCCGTTGCCCTGTGGTTTCCACTCGGACGGCCCCTGATGGGTCCGCCCCTCACTTCTCCTCGCGGAGGCCCCGCCCTTGCGCCACTTGCGCCGGGTGCCGCCTAGTCCCTACCCGTGATGCCCTGCACCGGCTTCGGGGTGGCGTTCTCTTGTGCTTAGGTTGCCTCTGCCTCCCACTTTGCCCCGCGGCAGGTCGTCCGACCGCTGGCCTGCCCGCTGCTGCCGCCCCTGGGCCCCTCCCAGCTGCTGCAGCACCGGCACCCTTTGCCCCTGGCCGCCGCCCGGTTCCCACGCCGCTGCCCGCCCCCGCGCTGGCACCCTGGTTCTCTGGCCGCCTGCTGCTCCCGCTCCCGCCCTGCCCGCACTGTGGCTGCTGGCCCCTCCCCTGGGTGCTCTGTGACGCCGCCCCGCGGCAGCTGCCGGGGGCTACCCTTCCGCCCCCGCGCGCCCCCCGCGGCGCTCGCCGCAGCCCTGCTGCGTGAGAGTGCCCCCGCTCCTGGCTCCCCTCTCCGCGGCCGCCCCTTCGCCTTCCAACCTCCTCTTGCATGCGTGTTAATTCGCGACGCCGTGCCCCGGTCTCGCCACGACGCGCGTGCAGATCGCCTCTGCCGCGCGCCGACGAAAAACAAGATGTGTCCTGTGCTTGCACATGCACGTCACTGCGCAGACGGCATGCTATCAGCGCATGATGTGGCAAAACCTGCAGCTTCCACCCAACTAAT